CACACACACACACACACGTTAAAACATTTACCTATGTGACTCTGTGACCGATGTGTGTGTGTGTGTGTGTGTGTGTGTGTGTGTGTGTGTGTGTGTGTTTATTCATGGTCTGAATTCTCATTTTTTTCTCTATTTGATTCTTCTACTGTTTGTTTTGATACACGAAAATACAATTATCGTGTAGAAAGCAGAACGCGACAGTAAGCATCGGAGTGGTAACGGGAGACGGCAGTGAGAGTATCAGCTGTTCTTCAATCCCTTATACACAATAGAAGGGGAATGATAACTAAACCCTACATGTAATCCTCCTAAAGGCGATTCAACTCCACATCATAAGGTATCTGAATCCCTAGAACCTTATACTCTCAATATATCCAGGATGTTATTGTAGGTTTTAAAGGACTCCAAAATCCCTACAGGACTCCAGAATCCCTAAAGGACTCCAAAATCCCTAAGAACTTGGTTTCTCAGTACCTCTCTCTCTGGCTGTGTCCGCAATGTAACTTAAGACTTTCCTAAATATTCTCAGTGAGTTAGAAGATGAGAGACACACTTATACCAGCCCATGATGTCTGTTATACCAGCCCATGATGTCTGTTATACCAGCCCATGATGTCTGCTATACCGGCCCATGATGTCTGTTATACCAGCCCATGATGTCTGTTATACCAGCCCATGATGTCTGTTATACCAGCCCATGATGTCTGTTATACCAGCCCATGATGTCTGTTATACCAGCCCATGATGTCTGTTATACCAGCCCATGATGTCTGTTATACCAGCCCATGATGTCTGTTATACCAGCCCATGATGTCTGTTATACCGGCCCATGATGTGTTATACGGCCCATGATGTCTGTTTATACTCAGCCCATGATGTCTGTTATACCGGCCCATGATGTCTGTTATACCAGCCATGATGTGCTGTTATACCAGCCCATGATGTCTGTTATACCAGCCCTGTTATACCATGATGTCTGTTATATGATGTCTGTTATACCAGCCCATGATGTCTGTTATACCGGCCCATGATGTCTGTTATACCAGCCATGATGTCTGCTGTTATACCGGCATGATGTCTGTTATACCAGCCCATGTCTGTTATACCAGCCCATGCCCTGATGTCTGTTATACCAGCCCATGATGTCTGTTATACCGGCCCATGATGTCTGTTATACTGGCCCATGATGTCTGATGTACTGTTATGCCCATGATGTCTGTTATACCAGCCCATGATGTCTGTTATATCCATGATGTTATACCAGCCCATGATGTCTGTTATACAGCCATGATGTCTGTTATACCAGCCCATGATGTCTGTTATACCAGCCCATGATGTCTGTTATACCAGCCCATGATGTCTGTTCATTTATCCTCACTACTTCAGATCCCTCCTACGACTTTCCCGTCAGTTGAAAAAAGAAATAATGTTTTGCTATTTCTTTTTCATTTTAGGATCTTCTCTCTCTCTGTCTGTTTGTCTGTCTGTCTCTCTCTTTCTTGTCTGTCTGTCTGTCTGTCTCAAATACCTGTGGGTTGTTTTTATTTAATTACCAGAGTATATATGTTTTTTTTAATGAATATCAAGTGTTTGTTTACCTTCGCTGCCTAAGGTGATATCGTATGCCTCACCATAATCGCTGCCAGACGTACGATCAACTCAGCACTAACTCAACAATGGTCGTCTGGTATCGTTACGCACCCTGATGCCAGACTACTAGAAGGGAACTGTCTACTCACTGTGTACTCCCGTCCCTAAACAGTTGACCTGGACAGATGATTGAAACAAAAGAAGGTTGATTAAAAAAAGTACCGACTGTTGCCGTATACTCACTTCTGACGTCATCACAACTTCACAGCGTCAAGTAACGTAATGTACTCTAACCTAACCTAACTTAACCAATACAACCTAACCTAACTCCCCCAGGTAGCATTAGGGTATTTAATCAACAGGTGAAACAAACTGAGATGGGTTAAATCTTCACGTAACCCCCCCAAAAATAATATTAACATAACATTGATTACAAACTCAGTGGTGGTGGTGTCTGGCAACCTTATGGTTACGTAAACACAAGATAGTGCTTAACCACACTCGAGGGACTCAACCCAAGTAGCACTCAATGCTCGAGAATGACATTAGTATCAAGTAATAGCAAGTGGCGTTATCATCTTAACCTTGTGATAAGAGGGGTTAGGTTAGGTTACTGTTAGGTTAAGTTAAATTATGTTAGGTTTGGTTAGGTTAGGGTTAGGATAGGTTAGGTTAGGTTATTGTTAGGTTAAGTTAGATTATGTTAGGTTTGGTTAGGTTAGGGTTAGGATAGGTCAGGTTAGGTTAGGTCAGCGAGGATCAAAGTAGAGGTGACGTGTTTTATCTACCATCAGGTGAGGTCTCTCCCTCTACCCTCTCTCCCCCTTGACTCAGAGGCCCCAAACCTCTTCCTCCTCCTCTAGATTATTACCTCATCTTCCTCAAGGCGACCTCCTCTCCACCTCCTCCAGTTAGCAGTGAAGCAACGAAGCAATGAGTGTACCCCACACACACACACACACACACACACACACACACACACAGCCTTCTGGCTGCCAAGCTCTTTCAATAAACTTTAATTAGTATTATTATTGTTATTACACACACACACACACACACACACACACCAGAGGCATTTTCTTACACACTACCATCCATAACAAAAAATGCCTTTACCCACAAAATTATCTACATCGCCTCCCCCAAACGGTACATAAAAACAATATACATAAAAGAGACATATACATACTCGTATACATATAAAGGAAGAATACATAAAGGGAGATTACCGATAATATTCCACTATATCAAAGGTAAAACTTCAAAGTCGATGTGTTTGGTGACAAGACATTGGACTCGGTAAACACAGAGAGGATATGTACTATTGTTGCCCTTCCTGCCACCACCACCCACCACCACAGGTTTACACCCTTACTACCACCCACTACCACAGCTGTACACCCCCACCACCACAGCTGTACACCCCTCACCTTCACAGCTGTACACCCTCACCACCACCCACCACCACAGCTACACCCTTACTACCACAGCTTACACACCCTTACTACCACCCACCACCACAGCCACCAACCCCACCACCACAGCTGTACACCCCACCACCACCACCACCACAGCTTACACCCTTACTACCACAGCTACACACACCCCACTACCACCCACCACCACAGCTGTACACCACACAGCTGTACACCCCACCACAGCTACACCCTTACTACCACAGCTTACACACCCTTACTAACTCCACCACCACAGCTGCACAGCTGCACACCACCACCACAGCTGTACACCCCTCACCACCACAGCTGCTGTGCACCTCACACCACCACTACCACAGCTGTACGCCCTCACCACCACAGCTGTACACCCTCACCACCACCCACCACCACACCATTGTACACCCTCACCACCACCCACCACCACAGCCGTACACCCTCCACCACCCACCACCACAGCTGTACACCCTCACTACCACAGCACCACAGCTTCACCCTCACCACCACAGCTGTACACCCCTCACCACCACCCACCACCACCCATCACCACAGCTGTACGCCCTCACCACCACCCACCACCACAGCTGTACACCCTCACCACCCACAGCTGTACGGCCCACCACAGCTGTACATCCTCACCACCACCCACCACCACAGCTGCACACCTCACCACCACCCACCACCACAGCTGTACCTCACCACCACAGCTGCTGCCCCACCACAGTCACATCCTCACCACCACCACCACCACAGCTGTACACCCCACCACCACAGCTGCACGCCCCACCACAGCTGTACATCCTCACCACCACCCACCACCACAGCTGTACACCACCACCACCCACCACCACAGGTGTACACCTCACCACCACAGCTGTACGCCCCACCACAGCTATATCCTCACCACCACCCACCACCACAGCTGTACACCCTCACCACCACCCACCACCACAGCTGTACACCCCTCACCACCACCCACCACCACAGCTGTACACCCCACCACCACAGCTGCACGCCCCACCACAGCTGTACACCCTCACCACCACCCAGCTGTACACCCTCACCACCACCCACCACCACAGCTGTACACCCTCACCACCACAGCTGTACGCCCCACCACAGCTGTACACCCTCACCACCACCCACCACCACAGCTGTACACCCTCACCACCACCCACCACCACAGCTGTACCCTCACCACCACAGCTGTACGCCCCACCACAGCTGTACACCCTCACCACCACCCACCACCACAGCTGTACACCCTCACCACCACCCACCACTATCACAGCTTTGTAGATAGATAGATAGATAGATAGATAGATAGATAGATAGATAGATAGATAGAGACAGACATATGAACAGCAATATACGAATGAACAAACGACATTTTTACTCAGAATAAATAGTTGAAAAAATAGAAGAAAAAAATAACGAAAAAACATTTATTTTATATGACGACTTTTGCTCATTCCGTTGATATATTGTTTCTAGATGATCAAAGGTTGTGATCAGTGTAAGAATACTGATCAAAGAAGGAAAGTATAGAATATTGATCAAAGAAGGAAAGAAGAGAATATTGAACAATGAAGGAAAGTAAAGAATATTGAACAATGAAGGAAAGTAAAGAATATTGAACAATGAAGGAAAGTAAAGAATTGATCAAAGAAGGAAAGTAAAGAATTGATCAAAGAAGGAAAGTAAAGAATATTGATCAAAGGAAAAATAAAGTAGTGAATGAAAGAAGATTTGAAGTTTATAGTTTTCAGGATTGACAGCGAGTGAATATCAGTGGAATAAATTGCTACCAGATTGACAATACCTCAGTGAGAGAGAGAGAGAGAGAGAGAGAGAGAGAGAGAGAGAGAGAGAGAGAGAGACTTTGAGTCTACGGTGGGTGTTGCTGTTAGGTTCAGGTCAGCTTAGGTTAGGTCAGGAAGGGTTGGCACCACTGACCTGGATCTCTGTCACACATCCACTCCCTGCAGCACTGTCCTGGCACTGTCACCAGGTGTGGGTTGTGGCACTGTTGGCCTGGTAGGATGCTCTCACTAGGACACAGTGACACACACGCGTACGTCCCGTTCTGTAGAGGGTCAAGAGGAGTCAGTGTAGCACTGTAATTATCCACATGGCACTGTAATGGTCCACGTGGCACTATAATGGTCAACATGGCGCTATAATGGTCAACATGGCACTATAATGGTCAACATGGCACTATAATGGTCAACGTGGCACTCTAATGGTCAACATGGCACTATAATGGTCAACATGGCACTCTAATGGTCAACATGGCACTATAATGGTCAACATGGCACTCTAATGGTCAACATGGCACTATAATGGTCAACATGGCACTATAATGGTCAACATGGCACTATAATGGTCAACATGGCACTATAATGGTCAACATGGCACTATAATGGTCAACATGGCACTATAATGGTCAACATGGCACTATAATGGTCAACATGGCACTCTAATGATCAACATGGCACTATAATGGTCAACATGGCACTATAATGGTCAACATGGCACTATAATGGTCAACATGGCACTATAATGGTCAACATGGCACTATAATGGTCAACATGGCACTATAATGGTCAATATGGCACTATAATGGTCAACATGGCACTATAATGGTCAACATGGCACTATAATGGTCTAGTTCAATATGGACTGAACTGGATTTATTTACTTACATACACATAAAGGTAATATGTCTCTCTATAGCCTGTGTGTGTGTGTGTGTGTGTGTGTGTGTAAGCTAAGGCCTCTCCTCATTACAAGGGCGCTATTTAACACACTCACCTGGCAGGTACTTACACACAACACTCACCTGCAGGTACGTACACACACACTCAACTCACCTGCAGGTACGTACACACACACTCAACTCACCTGGCAGGTACGTACACACACTCAACACACCTGCAAGTACGTACACACACTCAACTCACCTGCAGGTATGTACACACATTCAACTCACCTGGCAGGTACACTGGGTGCGGCAGTCAAGGGTGAAGGTCTGGCCGTGGTCGTAGGTACGGTTGTTGACGGTACATTTGGCCGGCCGTACCTCTGTAAGGTACGGCATGTTACATTAACAAATACTTAACTAAACCTAACATAACCTAACCTAACCTAACACAATATAACTTAAGGTAACCAAATTTAACTTAATGTAACAATCTATCGTAACGTAACGTAACCTAACCTAACCTAACCTAACTTTACTATATCTAACTTAGCCGAACTTAACATAATCCAATATAACAACCTAACTTAACCTACAATAACCTAACTTAATTTAACCTAACCCAATCTATCAAAGCTTAACTTTATCTAACCTAACTTAGTCTAACCTAACCTAACCTAACTTTAACTAACCTGACCCACGAGACTCTCAGGTGAAGGTCAACTCACCTTGACAAGTGCCAGTGGGATCCGCAGTAGAGTTGTAGTGACAGGTAAGACCCAGTGCCAGGTCACACAAGGTGGCACCGTCACAAGGCTGTCCCAACTGACGGGCGCACTGCCAACAACATCCACACCCGTCTATCACCACCCGCACGTCCACGTCACAGTCTGGTACACCCCCACACCCACACGGGTACACACAGTGGGCGCGGATCTGTCGGGTAGGAAGGTGGGAGTGAGTCTCATGATGTGGCAGCTGCAGGTGAGGGAAGAGGAGAAGAGAGAAGAGGAGAAGAGAGGAAACAGAAGAGAAGAGAAAATGAGGAATGTAGGCAACAAATGCAGTAAGTTTTTGATGTGGGACGCTCACTGATTCCTGAATGGGTGGGGAAATATTTCGCTAATGAATGTAAAATACCATTGAACAGATGCAGCAGAGGCAACACTGTGAAATATTTCCCGGTGCAGCTGACCGTAACAACATCAACACTCACTCAATGGCTGGTTTGTGTATCATAATCCCTGGGTTTGTTCCAATGATTTTTTTTTTATTCTCCAGGTATATTACATCGTGAGTTAAGTTATGTTCTTCTAAAAAATTATAGAATCGGAATATAGGAATGTACAGTATGTATGTATGAATGTATGTATGTATGTATGTATATATGTATGTATGTATGTATGTATGTATGTATGTATGTATGTATGTATGTATGTATGTATGTATGTATGTATGTATGTATGTATATAACGTGTACTAATATAAATTATCAACAAGCTGTAGTGGAAAATATCTCCAAGGGAAACGTATAATAATTTTGTATTTTTCCGCCATTACTTTTAATAATGGCCCGAAAACATTTTAATATACATTTAAAATTGTACAGAAAAAAAAACACCGAATTTATGTTTTAAAAAACTTCTTAATTGAAGACAAACACAAAAAGTTGGGAGAGTAAATCACTGATTATCATGTCTGGACAAACACAGTGTTTGGTTACGTGTGTTGTTGTTGACGACCACTAGGGGGCAGGTGGAGGAGTCAAGGTGGAGGGAGGAGGGGTGGAGGAAGGCCATGTGGGGGGAGGAGGTGGAGGAAGGTCAAGGGAGGAGGGGTGGAGGAAGGTCAAGGTGGAGGGCGGTGGAGTAGAGGGAGGCTAGGATGGAGGGATCTCAAAGTGGAGGGAATTCAGACTATAAGAAAAATACAAAGATGAAATATATCCATCAATATCCACAACACACACACACACACACACACACACACACATACACACATACACACACACACACACTAAACTATGTCCCTAACTCAAAACAAATGCAAAACAGAAAACTCAATTAACACAGCATTCAACTCCCTTACACAGCATTCAAACACCTCTCCTTCACATTTCTTATCTTGGAAGGGAGACACAAAATAAAAATGAAAGTGACGAAAAGGGAGAAGAGGAGAGAGAGAGAGAGAGAGAGAGAGAGAGAGAGAGAGAGAGAGAGAGAGAGAGAGAGAGAGAGAGAGAGAGAGAGAGAGAGAGAAAAGTTTGTTTACATCTGAATGAGACGAGAGGGAGGAGAGTGAATGAAAACCTGAAGATAAATGAGGAGGAAACATAGAATAAAAATGGAGATAGATAACATAGAAGGGAAGAAGGGAGAGGAAATGCTTGGGTGATGTGAGAGAGAGAGAGTAAGAGAGTAAGAGAGGAGGGGAGGGGGGATTATCGCCAGTGTGTTGAGAAATGTTGCAAATGATAACACAAGAGTGGGGAAAATATTGCAAGAGAGGATGTTACCGCCTTTGGTGTGTGTGTGTGTGTGTGTGTGTGTGTGAGGATATGTGGCACTGTCTGATGGCATGTGGCACTGTCTGATACAAGCGAGGCACTGTCATTGTCTGTGTGGCATTATGTTTCATGTGAAGATATGTGGCACTGTATACCTACGGTGTACGTGTGGTGGCACTGTCCTCATGTCTGTATATTGAAGGGTTGGTACTTTCTTTATAAACGTACATGGGAGAAATAACGTACATGGGAGCAATAACGTACATGGGAGCAATAATGCATGGGAAATAAGCAGGGTAAGTGGGCAATAAGAGAGCAATAACGTACATGGGAGCAATAACGTACATGGAGCAATAACGAATGGCGTTGGAGCAATACAATCAGCACACGAATACTCCACCATCACCACGAGAGAGAGAGAGAGAGAGAGAGAGAGAGAGGGGAGAGAGAGAGAGAGAGAGAGAGACCCACCACACATCAGCCACCTCTCAACTAGGGGTAACAATAGCACGTGAGATTATAACATTATGGTGACAGCTACCCAAAGACTGTCAGGGTAATAAAACAACACATCTGTCAGCTCCCGTCTCCTACCCAGACAAGCCAATGTTTACCTCCGCCCTGCCGGGTGTTGAAACTAGGTACCTGTGTGTGTTAGTAGGATGACCTCTAACACTGCTTTTGATTTTGGGGTCAGAGGTCAAGGTTCAATGTTTAGGGGAAAGAGACATCAAGGTGTGAGGTTAGGTTAGGTTATTGTTGTGATTGTTGTTATCATGAAGCAAGAATTTATGATGCGAGATTTTATTGTCATGAAGCGTTTGTTATCATAATGCGATTTTTGTTATCATGAAGCAATTTTTGTTATCATGAAGCGATTATTGTTATCATGAAGCAAGTTTTTTATCATGAGCGATTATTATAAATTTTGTGTCTGAAGCTGTTATCATGAAGCAATTTTTTGTTATCATGAAGCGATTATTGTTATCATGAAGCAATTTTTTGTTATCATGAAGCAATTTTTTTGTGTCCATGAAGCAAGTTTTTGTTATCATGAAGCAAGTTTTTGTTATCATGAAGTATCATGAAGCAATTTTTTGTTATCATAAAGCAATTTTTGTGTTCATGAAGCAAGTTTTTGTTACCATGAAGCAAGTTTTTGTTATCATGAAGCGATTATTGTTATCATGAAGCAAGTTTTTGTTATCATGAAGGATGTCATCATGAAGCAAATTATTATCGTGAAGCAATTTGTAATCATAATTCAATCAACATGACATTAATGACTAAACTGAATTATTTGGTTTACATAGTCAACGTACCAGCGCCAGGAACACATGTTTTAATGAGCTACACCTGTTTACACCTGTTGAAATCCGTTGAAATCTGTTAACTGTATAAATCTGTTAATATCTGCTGGTCTTGGTTCTCTGGACGTCCAGCTTGTGAGGAGAAATGAGTGGGGAGTGAGGGAGGGGGAGGAGGGGCCGCTGGGATGAGAAGGAGGGAGAGTGAGTGTGGAATGAGCAAGAAAGTGAGTGGGGTATGAGTGGGAGTGAATGAAAGTGAGGGGAATGAGTGGGGAGTGAATGTGAAAGTGAGTGGGGAATGAGTGGGGGAGGAATGTGAAAGTGAGTGGGGGAATGCGTGGGATGAGTTTGGGAGGAGAGGAGAATATGTGGGAGGAGGGAAAATGAGTGGAGGATTAAGTGAGTGGGATGAGTGGGGTCGCTGAGGGAGGTACAAGGAGTGGTTGGGGAATGAGTAAGAACTGAATAGGGATGAAGCCTGGGAGTAATTAAGATCCTTCCCCAGCCTCTGTTGTGTTCTACTCCTTGTGTGAAGAGACAATAGCTTCCTCCTGCACCACCCCCTCTCCTCCAGGACTACCACCTCCTGCACCACCTCCCCTCCCTCCAGGACCCCACCTCCTGCACCACCCCACCTCCCCCTCCACTCCACCACCACTACCACCTCCCTCCACCACCACCACTACCTCCTCTCCTCCAGGACTACCACCTCCTGCACCATCCCCACTCCTCCTCCTCCACCACCACCAGCACCCCCTCCCCCTCACTCCCTTCCCAGCAGGTAAAATAATCTTGTGTTTTTAACTGTACACAAAGGTCAGGGGGACAAACTACCTCTTACAAACACTGTCTCGGGAGGTTGTCAACATGTCCACCTCCCCTCCACACATACCTTCACTCTCCCCGATTTTATGTAAGGTTTAAAGAAATTATTTATCCTCGTACGAGATTATGATGGTGACAGTTTAAAGGAAGAACAAATATATTTTTATCTTTTTCTCTCTTCCTGTATCTATTTTTTCTCACCCACGTCAACAATATATACACAGTCGAGATGTAATCGTCACTCTCAAAACAAAGGAACATCAACTAGCGTCCTTTAGCAGCGTTCTTGTTTACATTCGTGGTCTCTCACAACACATTACTGTCAATATATCACAACTTAATCTCTGGTTCACCTCGTACACTATAACAAGGACGATAAACTTGAAACCAAAAAATATAGAGTTAAATTACAGAGGTTCAGAAACTCAGATATAATGACGACGTGAAATGTTGGGTCCAGTTGAGTGAGTTGCCTGCGTCGTTAAGTCGAGAGCAGTTCAGGGGGGCTGTTACGTGGTTACTATTGACCTTTAGCGTTGAAGTTGGTGGCGGCGGTGGTAGTGTGGTTGTGGTGGCGTGGGTTTGGGGCGTGATTGTGGTGGCGTGACTGTGGTGTGGTTCAAAACTACTACACTACACAAGAGCCAGTGATTTCCTCTCTTCACACACGAATGGACGTTAACTGGCCGGTGTTGTGTAGTTTCTGAATTCACCATATGACTCTTGATTACTTCTCTGACCTCCACCACCAAACCTATATAGTATAGCACCAGGTTCAATCAATTTAGCTTTTCTGATGTAAATGGTGGACAAAATACTATCTATCAAACATTTTTTTTTTCTTCTTCTTCTTCGTCTTCCTTCCCTTCTTCTTCTTTCATTCCTTTTCTTCTTCACTCCTCCTTCCTTCCTCCCTCTCCTCCCCCCCCACCCTCAGCAGCGCCCCAGTCACAAGGCGGCAACTGCGCCCCCCTCCCACATCCCTACCCAACACCACCTACCCTCCCCGCCCTATATCCCCCACTTACCCCCCGCATCCCCCACCGCCCCACCCACACATATGATGGATCATTTGTCGATACAGTGATTTATATAACGTCAAAATGATGCGCTGAAATACATGAACGGCCGGTGGGGTTATGTGACCCTGTGGTCATAAGTCATATTTTTACTGTCCACAACCAGAAATAGTACTGTTAGTGTCATGTTTTTGTGTCATAAACTGTCATGAGGTGGTTCACGTTATGTAGCTTGCTGTCATGTCTTGCGGTGGTTCATGTTATACAGCTTACTGT